CAGCGTTTTTGCGCCCTCCCCTCGCTTACTGAGGGTGCGAAAATGGCTGCCGGACCCGGAAAACATCGCTGTACGATGAGTTTTCTGCCAATTTGGCTTTTTTTGATCCGTACAGCGATGTTTTCGCATAGCGAAGGTTAATCCGGAACGGATTAACCTCGCTATGCGAGGCACCACTGTACTTAAAAATTTCTAGACTGCATATTTAATAGTGTAGATTATTAGAAGATGATCTGAAACTTGAATATGAATATATGGCAACAAAGTATTGGTTCTAGAATTGAGTGAAATCATTAAAGAAGAATTGAATATATTCTTGGTCTTAATGCTGTCAGCTTGGCATGTGTGGCTGGATTTTTTTGCCTGTGAACTAATAATTTTAAAGTCACCGTATTTTTCCGTTTACAACATGCCCCCGTTTATTAGACCCCCCCAATTTTCTAACCCCAAAATTAAGAAAACTCATCTTTGAGGATTCAGCCTCTGAGCTCAGAACATCAGACATTTTGAGACTCTGTTGAATCTTGAGCCTACAGGCTCCATCTCCAAGGAGGTGTGTTCCACTTGGTTTGTTCAGGATCTGCTGATGTTCCTTAAGGCTTGTGATTGGAGGAAGCTAAGTCTCCTGCTTGTAGGAAACTAAGCCTCGTGGCTGAAGGAAGCCTGTTTACACAGGCAAGGTATGTTCTGTTTTGTTCTCTCCTCAGCTATCTCAGCTTACTTCCATGTAAAAGACACCCCTCAATTTTTAGTGTAATGATTTTAGGAAAAAGTAGTGTCTTATAGATGGGAAAATATGTTAGTGCGTAAACATGTGGAAAACGTTTTGGCAGAGTAACTTCAAGGTCCTTGTGGCAAAATGACTCACACAGACATGATCAGCTTCTTCCACCACCAGACGTATATTTACAGGATATTTACAAGTATACAGAGCGAAGGCATGATACCATGAATTCATCAGAAGAGCAGGAATACATCTTCTTCTGCACAGTCCATATATATACGCTTATGCCTCTGGTTGTGTCCAATCAGCACAAATGTTGCATCATCTTAGAGCCAGCCCTCCTGAGTCACAGTGACTCAGCATTTTGACACACCTGAACATCATGGCTGCTCATTAGGACATTTGTTTTGCTCAGGCCTGTAAATGGTGCTTATGCTTTTATATTTGGAAGAAAGGTGTGTCTGTATTCTGATTTGCAAAGCAATAATGAACTGATGTAGTAGTACTATACTTTATTACGGTCAAAGACCAGTAAAACCAAATCAATATAAAACAGATACATATTTTATCTATTTTAGGGGTGGGGGAGCGTTTGCATGGGTGCAGGCAGACCAAAGAGGCTGTGCAGGGGGGGGAGTATGTGTGGGGGAGGGGGGAAAGTGTCTCTCTGATCCGGTCCATCTCAGGCCATGGACCGGTACTGGGCCGTGGACCGGGGGTTGGGGACCTTTGCATTAGAGGACTCCATTCTCCCACACCCTGTGACCTACAAGGTCATTTTGTGTGACATTGACTGAACATGATTCCTGCAGCTATGGCCCTTGTGCTCCATCCCACCTTTGACTGAAGGAATAGCATTCCAGGGGCATGGAAGAGACAAGAAAATATTTTCAGTCATAATCCTCAGCATCTGACTGACAAACTGAAAGTAATTTATTACTTAAACGACAATATTTTTGTATGAGTAAATAGTTTAGTATTATCTCTAGACATATTTTTAATCTTATGCTATTCTTTTTTTCTAGAGGGACAGTTAAGGCATATAAAAACTGGAGAACCGTTTGTTTTTAACTACCGTGAAGATTTGCATAGATGGAACCAAAAGCGTTATGAAGCTCTTGGAGAGGTATATATTATATATAAACAGTTTATATGAGTAGATATTATGAGTTTATGTGCCTGTTTTTGTGCACTGTGTTAATAACATTATGTTTGATTTAAATAAGGGAGAAAAATTGACTATTTAAGGGCAGGTTTCACTAACATAACCAGGGATTTTTTACTAAATGTCTTTCGCAAAGAAAGATGATTTAAACTTTTGTGATACTTTGTATGACTCTTTGATACTATTTTTGTGCACATACTTTTAATGATACTTGTACATGCTGCTAAATAATATAAAATGAAGTACAGTGGTGCCTCGACTTACGACCATAATCCATTCCAGAAGATGGACATAACTCGAAATGGCCGTAGGTCAAAGCACCATTTCCCATTGAAATGCATTGGAACACGATTAAACCGTTCTGGCAAAAAATAATAATAATAAAGCACATAGCAAGCCCGGTCAGAAGATGCTGGGGCTTAAAAAACAACAGCAAAAGATAAACAGCAAAACAAGCTCCATCGCTGGGGCTTAAAAAAACACAAACCAAAAATAAAGCATACAGCAAGCTCTGTCACTGGGGCTTTTAAAAAATAACAGTGAAAATTAAACAGCAAAGCAAGGTCCGCCGCTGGGGCTTAAAAAACAAACAAACCAAAAAGTGAAGCGCACAGCAAGCTCCATCACTGGGGCTTTAAAAAAACAAAACAAACCAAAAATAAACAGCAAAGCAAGCCCCGAAGGTGCTGGGGCTGCAATAATAATAATAATAATTAAAAAAATAAAAAACAAAGGAACAAGCCCTGTCACAAGGTGCTAGGGCTGCAAAAAAAAATCACACACACAAAAAACAACAACAACACAGCACAGAAACATACCCCCCCAGCCCAAAACCACGCTGCAAAACCCACATAGAACAGTTTTTAAAAAGCAGAAAACAGCACCTTACCTTACCAGGCAGCCTCCTCCTACTGCGCACACTCTAACTGCTGGGGCAAAAGAGCTACAAAGAAGCAGCCTCTTCGCAACCTACAGTTAGCAATTTGAATTTCCTGCCTTTCCCCTTTGCCTTTTTGTGTTCGTAACCGGAAGCTCCGGCCACAAGTCGAAGCAAAATTTTGCAGCTGGAGCTCGTTGTAACTCGAAATGGTCGTAAGTAGGGACGGTCGTAAGTCGAGGCACCGCTGTAACTGGAATGTTGCATAAAATTATTTATCTATCCAAGAAGGCAGAAAAAATACCAAGAGATTCAGAAGGCACTTCTTTTTAAGATGCTTTGAATTATTCTGAGTCTCCTGTATAAACAAATAATGATTTTTAATTTGAAGAGGAATGTTTGCTATGAACTTATCTACAGATATTTCCTGTTTCTTTGGAATCAAATCTATTAGGAGCCAGAGAAGAAATAGTACATCACACCTACTAATCTACTAGTACCATAGATAAGCACTATGAAGATTTGTGTTTCTTTGTTTTCTTTCTTATGAATCATCTTTCTTTTCATGTGTATAAATACCTTTTGTTACTTTTTTGGCTTGTATTCTAAAATCTGGGAAGTAAAACAGATCTGTGAAGCTAATTACTTATTTTCTTACCTTTTCAAAACATAAATGAAATGCTTGCATGCATTAGATAATGGGTTGAAGGAAATATAGAAGATTCTATCACTGATAGCTTTGTGTTTGTCTAGAAGTATGTCCCAGTTGGTTTTGCAATCACAACATGTTCGTTTTGTAGAATGTTAGAACCTCCAAAAATAGTGTCCGTCTGTCCGTCCGTCCGTCCGTCCGTCCGTCTGTCTGTCTGTCTATCTATCTATCTATCTATCTATCTAACCTTTCCAAAAGGACCCAAGGCGGATTACATCATTAAAACAGTATTTAAAAGCTAAAAGCAGTAATTAAGCAAGTATAAACAAGCATTACTGCATATTAAAATGGTAACTAAGATCAGTATTGAAACACATTTAAAAAAACAGCATAATGATCCATTTAAAACTTCTCTCACACCACCAGGCATAGGCATTAAGGAAAAGCCTACCTCTGAAGAGTAAGGTCTTTGCCTGCAGAAGGACAGCAAAGATGGGGCCAACCTAGCGTCCCATGGGAGGGTGTTCCAGAGTCTGGGAGTAGTGACAGAGAAGTCCCTCTCCTGTGTCGCCACTAAGTGCACTTGTGAGGGTGGTGAGACCAGGATAAAGGCCTCTCCTGATGATCTTAATACTTAGGCAGGCTCATAGAGGGAGATGCGACCTTTTAGATAGCTAGGACTGAAGCTGTTTAGAGCTTTGTAGGTTAAAACCAGCACTTTGAATTGTACCCAGAAATGGATTGGCAGCCAGTGGAGCTCTGTAACAAGGGAGCTATATGTTCCCTGTAACCAGCCCCAGTCAACAATCTGGCTGTGGCATTTTGGATCCTTTGAAGTGTTTGAACACAGCAGCTCCATGTAGAATGCATTACAATAATCCAACTGAGATGTAACTAGGGCATGTGTCACTGTGGCCAGTCACACCTCTCAAGAAATGGGTGTAGTAGGCACGCTAGTTTTAACTGTGCAAAGGTACTCCTGGCCACTGCTGAACCACATGGTTATAGGTAAAAGCAAAATACAAATAAAAAGTAAAAAAAGACAAAAACACTAAAGACTAACTTTTATATTTTCATTGTGAGCTTTTGTGAACAAGTCCACAAAAGCTCAAATTAAAATTACAGTGGTGCCTCGCATAATGAGTGCACCGTTTAACGAAGAATCCGCATACCGATGCGGATTTCCCCATCGCTAATGCGAGGGCATCCTTGCATTGCGATGGGGGAACAGCTGTTTGGGGGTTCCAAAACGGCCACCGGACACCCAAAATGGCCGCCGGAACACTAAAAATGGCCACCGGGACACTAAAAATGGCCGCTTGGACACCCAAAATGGGCGCAGGGACATGGGGAAACATCACAGACCGGTGAGTTTTGGGCCCATTTGGAACGAAGTTTAATGCGTTCCAATGGGTTTCCCCGTCCCACTTAACGATGTTTCCCCATAGCGAAGGTTAATCCGGAACGGATTAACCTCGCTATGCGGGGCACCACTGTATATAAAAGTTAATCTTTAAGGTGCCACCATGTTTTTGTCTTTTTAAACTTTTTTGTTTCTGTTTTGCTTTTACCTATAATGCACAAACTAACACAACTACCCCTTCTGCAATGGCTTCCCCTGCACCATTGGAGCACTGGTAGGGGTCCCCTGTAACCACGCGCACCGGCTTCGGAGCCCTTCGGAGGCTTTCCCTACACCATCTGAGGACTCGCGGGAGTCCCTCCACGTCACGATGGGTGCTTGCAGAGGCTTGCCAAACACCATTTTTGAATTTCCCGCCCTTTCCCCTTCGGAGGCTTTCCCTACACCATCTGAGGACTCGCGAGGGTCCCTCCACCTCACGATGGGCGCTTGCAGAGGCTTGCCAAATACCATTTTTGAAGTTCCCGCCCTTTCCCCCTGCTTTCGGCAAGCCTCAGAACGTAAAAAGGAAAAAGAAAAAAATGAAAGCCTTTTTAAATTCCAAGGCTTGCCAAAGGCAGGGGGAAAGGGCGAGAAGTTCGAAAATGGTGCTTGGCAAGCTTAGGGTCCCTCCACCTCACGATGGGCGCTTGCAGAGGCTTGCCAAATACCATTTTTGAAGTTCCCGCCCTTTCCCCCTGCTTTCGGCAAGCCTCAGAACGTAAAAAGGAAAAAGAAAAAAATGAAAGCCTTTTTAAATTCCAAGGCTTGCCAAAGGCAGGGGGAAAGGGCGAGAAGTTCGAAAATGGTGCTTGGCAAGCTTCTGCAAGTGCCCATCACCGCATGAAGGGACCCCCGCAAGTCCTTGGATGGTGCAAGGGAAGCCCTGGGGGACCCCCAAAGCCGGTGATTGTGGTGAGGGGGGCCCCTGCGAATCTTCCGATGGTGCAGGGGAAGCCTCCGAAGGACTTTGAAGCCGGCGATTGCAGTTGCGGAGGGCCCCATGAGTCCTGGGATGGTGCAAGGGAAGTCCCGGGGGACCCCCAAAGCCAGCGATCGCAGTGAGGGGACCCCCACCAGCCCTTCGATGGTGCTTCCCCTGCTCCCTACCTGGTAAGCAACTTTTTAAATGTCCCCCCCCCGTAGGAACGCATTAATTGCATTCCTATGGGAAAACGCATTTCG